CTCCCCTGCTCAATCCTCGTTCAATAACCGCCCTCCACCCTTTTCACAGATGTCAGATCTGCATCACAAGATGAAGGCTTTTCCTGCCCTTTTCTGCTTCCTCTCCATTTTATCTTTCCTAGGCATTACTTCTCAATAAACTTGATGTACTCTTTGTCTTTGTGGAAAACCCAACTGACAAAGGGGTGCTATTGATAATTAGGTGTGGGGAAACAGATATATAGCACAGCCTCTAATAACCCTAATTATATTTGATGGGCTCTGTTGTGCCCATCAAAACTTTGTTTTTTGCTGACATTGTCCATCTATCACAGGTACATGTGGGAGCCTTTAATCTCAGGCAGACCTTGACATAATAGACCCTAAGTGAATAAACTGGATATTCATATGGTAGTGGATAGGACCTATCACTATTTTCCTCCTTTTTCTTTCTTGAAGAATCTTCCTTCTTTTTTCTCACTTATTTGTTAGTGTGCCCAAGGACCTCTCCTCCCCTCTCCTTTCCTCTCTGCTCCACTCCCCTCCTCTGCCCTCCCTTTAATGACTGTCACTGGAATACAGTATTCATGTCCGTACTTAACAATCCCTGTTTTAGCAAAAGCTCTCCGACTGCTTATCTGCTTATTCAATAGCTTTATGAGACATTTTCATTTTGAATATTCCACAGACTTCTCAAACACAAGAATTCCTTTGACACTAACCCCATTATATTTACTTATGAAAGATGGCCTCGTAGTCATACAGACAGGAGCTCTAGAAATCAACCCAGATTTTTTGCTCTCCCTCAACCCCACATCAATTTGGTCACAGTGTCATCTTGATTCTACCTGGTACATTTTGGTCACACCTATTACCTCTTTTCTATGTTTCAAAAAGACACTGAGTAAATATCAATACTGGGGATAAAATATGAGTTTTCACAAGTATTAATTTCTTAGAAATAAGCAGTAAGCAAAAAGAAGGAAAAAAATGTATGAGGACAAGAGAGAAAACAGGTCAGCTGAACAGCAGCTGGCATCTACGAGATATAATGAGAGGTGAACAGATTGTCCTGTCTCATTTTGACCACAGAAGCATCATATGACTGCCACACATATATGGTAGAAAACCGATAAAGTATTAATACCAGAAAGGGTAGCACAAGTACCAAGAAAGTTTTCTTAGGACACCAAAACTCCCCGTGATGATGGGATAACCAAAGGGACCAGACATTGTGGCCTCATGTGACCTTGGGTAAGCTCACATCAGTTAATAAACTTTGCAGGAACCTGGCAGTAGGAGTGAGAGGGATCAGAATGAGAGATCTTGATTTTGGATAAATATATATAGTCTGTATTCTCCAGAACCTCTAAGATACTGTTCATCCCTTGCCTTTCTCCTGTAGAGATTGCTTCTGTCAGTGTGAATAAATCAGTATAAACATCTACAATGTTACTTGATCTGTTGCAATTACTACAACAACAGATCCTGGTCTGGGGAATGTAGAACTCCTCTTTTTGTAGTATACACAGTACCAGAAATATGACTGACATCTTATCAAATAAAGTTTGAGTGTTAGTACTGATCTTCATACAATGAACAGAGTTAGAAGATGGCAGCGTTGTTAGTTTGACTGTACAAAGCTGTGCTGCTTTGCTCACACCAAAGGCAGAGTGGCAGGATCACACTTTTAAACCGGTAATTGGCTCTTTCTAGAAAATCTCAACAATAATGCCTTGTTTCTAATGGGGGGTAGTGATCTGGAAGGACTTTCATTTCCTATTTTATTACCTAGTATTTATTAACTGGATTGGGTTTAAATGGTGCCTGCATTGCTTCCCCTGTCCACAGCTATCTCTAAAGAGGATTAAGAAAATCCTCATTATTTTTTGCTGGGATTTCAAAAGGTTAATGCTTAGTCCTTCTGCCGTCAGCCTAGACTACTCCATTTGATTCAACGCAATGCTGCCTGAGTCATCATTCCAGAACACAAATGTGATAATATACTTTCCCATATGTAAAGTCCTTTTATGATTTTCCAATGCTTACAGATAAACTTCAGAATTTTTTGTACAGCATACAGAGCCTTTACCCTTCTGAGCTCATTTCTCTCTACTCATCATAGATGTCTATGCTTTAATTATAGTGGCCTACTTGAAGTTCCTGGAATAAGCCATGATCTTTTTCCTTTGTATACGTTATTTTCTTTGCCTGGAATGTTGAGCATATACCCCCTTCCTCTTCTGCATCACCTAACAGCACTGCATCTGTATAGAAGTCTCCTGTGGTCCTAAGATTTGGATTATGTATACTAATCACAGCTCTTATTACTATGTGCTGTAATCATTCCCATTTTTTTAATCTCCCATTGTGGGCTCTGCACTTATTGATTGCAAGGACTGTCTTAATTCTTTATGGCTAGCACTTACCTCAGTACCTATCATAAAATGGGTGCTCAAGGAATAGATGGATGGATGGACAAATGTATGGACAAACGGAGGGATGGTTGAATGGCTCACTAGCTAAATATATAAAGAGATAGACAGAGAGTCTATTGAAATATCTTTACCAGTCATCAACCTCTACTTTCAAAGGCATTCTGTAGAATTCTGCCAGGATAGTCTTCTTAAAATAGATCTGACCATGTCAAACTTTAAAATACATGTTAAAAACATTCATTGGCTCCTCATCTTACAAATTATGATGCCACTTTTTAATCTTCCCTGATCTGACATAGATATACTTTCTCAGCCATTGGCAATCAAATACTCCAGGGTCCAGCCATGCTAAATTCTATAGTATTAAAAAAAAACATATTCATTCATTCATTTATTCACTTATTTCATGACTCCATTTTCTAATATATGCTCCAGTGCTAATGTAGTATTTTTCTCTATCATGTTAATATAGTTAAAGACTTGCTTTATAAATTTAGCAAATATCTTAACCTCCATTTTCATTTTTCTAAAATTTTAAAGCAATTACTCTGGAAAAGAGGTGAAATAATTCATGGGAAAGCTCCTATAAGGGAATAAAGTTCCTAAGAAATACCAAGCAGTAAGGAAGTTGGGATCTCACTGCTTTTTTAAATTTTGAAAAGCCTCATTCCCTTTTAATCCAGGAGGTGGCACCTTCACCTATAAATCTCTCTTAGAAACTATATGCGCTTTTCTAAATCTGATTCACATCCTCTTTGTGCAATAAAGCAACACCTGTGGGGGGACCTTCAAGATGGTGGAGGAGTAAGACCTAGAGATGAACTTCTCCCCACAAATACATCAAAAATACATCTACACATGGGAACAACTCCTACAGAACACCTACTGAACACTGGCAGAAGACCTCAGACTTCCCAAAAGGCCAGATGACATGATACTATACATAGAGAATCCTAAAGATGCTACCAGAAAACTACTAGAGCTAATCAATGAATTTGGTAAAGTTGCAGGATACAAAATTAATGCACAGAAATCTCTGGCACTCCTATACACTAATGATGAAAAATCTGAAAGTGAAATCAAGAAAACAGTCCCATTTACCATTGCAACAAAAAGAATAAAATATCTAGGAATAAACCTACCTAAGGAGACAAAAG